ATTTTTTCCCCATTTTTCCCCCAAATTTCCCTCAATTTTTTTGGGATTTTTTTTGGGAATCCCAGGAATTTTTTGGGATAAATTTGGGGAAAATTTGGGATAATTTTGTGATAATTTTGTGACAGTTTTGCTCTCCAAAATCCCCATTTTTTGAGCATTTTACACCAATTTTTTTCCCATTTTTTTCCCATTTTTCCCCGTTTTTCCCCCAAATTTCCCCCGATTTTTTGGGGGATTTTTTTGGGAATTTCAGGAATTTTTTGGGATTAATTTGGGATAAATTTGGGATAAATTTGGGACAATATTGCTCTCCAAAATCCCCATTTTTTTCCCCATTTTTTCCCATTTTTTTCCCATTTTTTTCCCATTTTTCCCCGTTTTTCCCCCGATTTTTGGGGGGATTTTTTTTGGGTATCCCTGGATTTTTTTGGGATAAATTTGGGATAAATTTGAGATAAATTTGTGACAATTTTGCTCTCCAGAACCCGCATTTTTTCCCCATTTTTTCCCATTTTTTTCCCATTTTTTCCCCGTTTTTCCCCCAAATTTCCCCCGATTTTTTGGGGGATTTTTTTTGGGAATCCCGGGAATTTTTTGGGATAAATTTGGGATAAATTTGGGAATAATTTGAGGTAAATTTGTGACAATTTTAGTCTCTAAAATCCTCTTTTTTTTCCCCATTTTTTTCCCATTTTTTCCCCATTTTTCCCCCAATTTTCCCCCGATTTTTTTGGGGATTTTTTTGGGAATCTGATGAATTTTTTGGGATAAATTTGGGATAAATTTGAGATAAATTTGGGAATAATTTGAGGTAAATTTGTGACAATTTTAGTCTCTAAAATCCTCTTTTTTTTCCCCATTTTTTTCCCATTTTTTCCCCATTTTTCCCCCAAATTTCCCTCAATTTTTTTTTGGGATTTTTTTTGGAATTTCAGGAATTTTTTGGGATAAATCTGGGATAAATTTGGGATGAATTTGGGAAAATTTTAGTCTCCAAAATCCCCATTTTTTCCCCATTTTACACCAATTTTTTTCCCATTTTTTCCCCGTTTTTCCCCCAAATTTCCCCCGATTTTTTGGGGGATTTTTTTTGGGAATCCCGGGAATTTTTTGGGATAAATTTGGGATAAATTTGGGATAAATTTGTGACAGTTTTGCACTCCAAAATCCCCATTTTTTCCCCATTTTTTTCCCCATTTTTTCCCCATTTTTCCCCCAAATTTCCCTCAATTTTTTTGGGATTTTTTTTGGGAATCCCAGGAATTTTTTGGGATAAATTTGGGGAAAATTTGGGATAATTTTGTGATAATTTTGTGACAGTTTTGCTCTCCAAAATCCCCATTTTTTGAGCATTTTACACCAATTTTTTTCCCATTTTTTTCCCATTTTTCCCCGTTTTTCCCCCAAATTTCCCCCGATTTTTTGGGGGATTTTTTTTGGGTATCCCTGGATTTTTTTGGGATAAATTTGGGATAAATTTGGGATAAATTTGGGATAAATTTGTGACAATTTTGCTCTCCAAAATCCCCATTTTTTCCCCATTTTTTCCCATTTTTTTCCCGTTTTTCCCCCAATTTTCCCCCGATTTTTTTTGGGATTTTTTTGGGAATTTCAGGAAATTTTTGGGATAAATTTGGGATAATTTTGGGTAAATTTGGGACAATATTGCTCTCCAAAATCCCCTTTTTTTCCCATTTTTTCCCCATTTTTTCCCCATTTTTTCCCCATTTTTTTCCCATTTTTTCCCCGTTTTTCCCCCAAATTTCCCCCGATTTTTTTGGGGATTTTTTTGGGAATCCTGGGAATTTTTTGGGATAAATTTGGGGAAAATTTGTGATAAATTTGGGAATAATTTGAGGTAATTTTGTGACAATTTTAGTCTCTAAAATCCTCTTTTTTTTCCCCATTTTTTTCCCATTTTTTCCCTGTTTTTCCCCCAATTTTCCCCCGATTTTTTGGGGGATTTTTTTTTGGAATTTCAGGAATTTTTTTAAGTAAATTTGGGATAAATTTGGGATAAATTTGGGATAAATTTGGGATAAATTTGGGATAAATTTGTGACAATTTTGCTCTCCAAAATCCCCATTTTTTCCCCATTTTTTCCCATTTTTTTCCCGTTTTTCCCCCAATTTTCCCCCGATTTTTTTTGGGATTTTTTTGGGAATTTCAGGAAATTTTTGGGATAAATTTGGGATAATTTTGGGTAAATTTGGGACAATATTGCTCTCCAAAATCCCCTTTTTTTCCCATTTTTTCCCCATTTTTTCCCCATTTTTTCCCCATTTTTTTCCCATTTTTTCCCCGTTTTTCCCCCAAATTTCCCCCGATTTTTTTGGGGGATTTTTTTTGGGAATTTCAGGAATTTTTTGGGATAAATTTGGGATAATTTTGCACTCCAAAATCCCCATTTTTTGCTTAATTTTTCCCATTTTTTTCCCATTTTTCCCCGTTTTTCCCCCAAATTTCCCCCGATTTTTTTTTGATTTTTTTTTGGAATTTCAGGAATTTTTTGGGATAAATTTGGGATAAATTTGGGATAAATTTGGGACAATTTTGCTCTCCAAAATCCCCATTTTTTCCCCATTTTTTCCCCATTTTTTCCCCATTTTTTTCCCATTTTTCCCCCAAATTTCCCCCGATTTTTTTTTGGGATTTTGGGAATTTTTTGGGATAAATTTGGGGAAAATTTGTGACAATTTTGGGATAAATTTGGGATAAATTTGGGATAAATTTGTGACAATTTTGCTCTCCAGAACCCGCATTTTTTGCGGATTTTTTTGCTAAATTTTTCCCATTTTTTCCCCGTTTTTCCCCCAATTTTCCCCCGATTTTTTTGGGGATTTTTTTTGGAATTTCAGGAATTTTTTGGGATAAATTTGGGATAAATTTGGGATAAATTTGGGACAATTTTGCTCTCCAAAATCCCCATTTTTTCCCCATTTTTTCCCCATTTTTTCCCCATTTTTTTCCCATTTTTCCCCCAAATTTCCCCCGATTTTTTTTTGGGATTTTGGGAATTTTTTGGGATAAATTTGGGGAAAATTTGTGACAATTTTGTGATAAATTTGGGATAAATTTGGGATAAATTTGTGACAATTTTGGTCTTCAAAACCCGCATTTTTTTTAATATTTTACTCCAATTTTTTCCCCATTTTTCCCCCTTTTTCCTCCAAATTTCCCCCAATTTTCCCCCGATTTTTTTGGGGATTTTTTTGGGAATCTCAGGAATTTTTTGGGGATAAATCTGGGATAAATTTGGGACAATTTTGCTCTCCAAAACCTCCATTTTTTGAGCATTTTACACCAATTTTTTTTCCATTTTTTCCCATTTTTTCCCCATTTTTCCCCCCATTTTCCCCCGATTTTTTGGGGGATTTTTTTTGGGAATCTCAGGAATTTTTTGGGATAAATTTGGGATAAATTTGGGATAAATTTGTGACAATTTTGCTCTCCAAAATCCCCATTTTTTCCCCATTTTTTCCCATTTTTTCCCCATTTTTTTCCCATTTTTCCCCCAAATTTCCCCCGATTTTTTTTGGGATTTTGGGAATTTTTTGGGATAAATTTGGGGAAAATTTGTGACAATTTTGTGATAAATTTGGGATAAATTTGGGATAAATTTGTGACAATTTTGGTCTTCAAAACCCGCATTTTTTTTAATATTTTACTCCAATTTTTTCCCCATTTTTCCCCCTTTTTCCTCCAAATTTCCCCCAATTTTCCCCCGATTTTTTTGGGGATTTTTTTGGGAATCTCAGGAATTTTTTGGGATAAATCTGGGATAAATTTGGGATAAATCTGGGATAAATTTGGGACGTTTTTAACCCTT